CGGCAGCAGCAGCAGCAGCAGCAGCAGCGGCAGCAGCAGCAGCAGCAAAAGAGTGCCGATGAAGAAGACGTGGTCTGGCTTAAGTGCCCGCGAGCCCCCGCCGTTGTCCAAGTCCCTTTTGGTAAACCCTCGCCTCTTTTATTTCTTTTTTTCTTTTACGTTTCCTTTAATTTTTCTTTTATTTCATTTTCATTATTTCCTTCTGTCTTTCTTTACATTTCTTTTTTTGTCAACTTTTTTTTCTCCGTTTGTCCCCTTTTCTGTCCCTTTTCATATTTCTTTTTGTCTCCCTTTCACTCTGTGTGTCTGCTGCTGGGGTTTAGGGTTTAGGGTTTAGGGTCTAGGGTTTACTGCCTGCAGCAAAAGTTCCAAAACTAGCGCACATTCATACCATGCCTCCCCGCGACCCCTCGAGTTTCCAGTACGGTGTCCCGGGCTTCGGGCCCAATACTGCGGGCTCAGGGTTTAGGGTTTAGGGTTTAGGGTTTAGGGTTTGGGGCTTAGGGTTTGGGGTTTGCAGGGAACGTGTTGCGGGGGCTGTCGCCTTCGCTGCGGCGCGCTGCTGCTGCTGCGCTGCGCCCCTTCAAGAAGTGGCGCTCTTTGGCTTTTCTCTCCGCCACTTTTTTTCTTTTTTCTTCTTTGCTGCTGTGGGCCAAAGGCGAGGGCCTCGCGCGCCTCGGAGTGCCCCCCGACAAGATCCCCCAGGGGCCCCTCGACGTCTCGGGCCAGCTCAAGTACGCCAGCTAGCTAGCTAGCCAGCTAGCTGGCTAGCTAGCTAGCTAGCCAGCTGGCTGACTAGCTAGCTCACTCGGTAGCTAGGCGGCGAGAGAGGTAGCTAGCCAACCTGGTAGCTAGGAGGCGAGACAGCTAGCTAGCTGACTGGGCGGCTAGGTGGCGAGCTAGCTAACTAGCTAGCTAGCTGACTGGGTGGCTAGTCAGCGGGGTGGCTAGCTAGCTACCTGGCTAGATAGCTGGCTAGCTGACAGCTAGCTTGCTAGCTGACAGCTAGCTTGCTAGCTGACAGCTAGCTTGCTAGCTGGGTAGGTAGTCGGCTTAACAGATCAGCTAGGTAGCAAGCTGTCTACCTATCTAGCTAGCCAGCTAAATAGCCGGCCAGCTAGCCAGATAGCCAGCTAGCTAGCCAGCTAGCCAGCAAGCCAGCTAGCTAGCCAGATAGCTAGCCTGCTAGGTAGCTTGCTGAGTGGGTGCCTACACGAGGTAGCTAGCTGCTGCTCCGGGAGGTAGCTGTATAGCTAGCTGCGTAGCTGAGGGGCTCTGCTGCAGCACTTGAGGGTGTCAGTTCCCCCGCACCTTGCGTGAAGCTGCTGCTGCTGCTGCTGTTGCTGCTGCTGCTGTTCGTGCTGCATCTGTTATCGCTGCTGCTGCGTTGTTTTTCTGCTGCTGCATCTGTGTTTCCAGCTGCGGGTTTTGTTTTTGCTGTAATTTTGTCTGTTTTTGCTGCCTCCGCGTCAATTTTTGCCGTGCTGCCCCCGCACTTGCTGCTGCTGCTGCTGCTGCTGCTGCTGCTGCTGCTGCAGCTACTCGGCGGCGCTGGCGAGCGGGAAGGAGCAGTGGGTGCGAAACGTGTTTGGGCAGTCGCCGAGCGGGGCCTTCTTCGGGGCCGACGGGGGCTACTACGAAACTCCAGAAGCAGCAGCTTCTCTTTCTTTTCCGCAACAGTTCAGCATTTTGGCAGGAAGTGTCTTCTCCTCGTTGGGCTTAGCAGCAGCAGTGGCCACGGGCCTGGGGCTGCTGGCCACGGCGCTGCGGGGGGCCTCCCGGGGGGCCCGGGGGGCCCGCCAGAAGGCCCACGAGGCCCTGCAGAAGATTCTCCAGAAGCTTCCTTGGGAGACCCGCAGCCACCAGCTTCTCCACAGACTGGCCCAGCGCCTTCAGCGGGGGCCCCCCCGCGGCTTCCAGCC